ACTAAATGCCAAACCCATTCTGGGCCCAGACAACTGACGCCACCTGAATGACAGGGCTGAATGGCCACAGGCTTCATGAGAGCTAACAGATTTATTAATTAAAATCTATTTTTCCTCATTCAGGGACCTTGGGGATACAGATGACACCCCAACAAGATTGCCAGTCACAACCAAAGAAGCCAGCACGGTCTTCCAGGCGGAGCTCGAGGCCCCTTTCTCTCATCTGAGATCAGGTAGGGAGAGAGTTCTGTGAACCCCCAATAGGCAGGGACAGCTCTACGCCCCTGCCCAGCAGGAAGTAGATAACAGAAGAAGAGACCTCCTGTCCCTCAGCTTCCCATAGAGATTTTATGGGGATCACGTCTCTCAAGGGGAAAACAGGGCAGGCAGTTAGAGGCAGGCATTGGGTCTAATCATTCCTACATGTCCCACAGAGTGCTACCGCCAAGGGGACATCCCCTCTACACCCAAACCTCCCCTTTGTATTGTAATTACCTACCCCTGCGGGAAAACAAATAGGCACAAAATACCCAACTAGATCAGACCAGTCACGGGCACCTGCGCAGTACCTCTTGTCAATCACAGGTGCCAATCAAGTGGCCCCAGGCTCTTAAGGGGAACAGCTCATTCTAGAGAAAAGGGATCAAAACTCCAAGTCCTGGGAAGTCCGCTAGGCTCTTTTTGACCGCTTCTTCCCTTTTTGAACCCCTTCCTCCCTTTTTTGAGCCTTTTGAGCCTCGCCTTTGCACGTGGCCCACTGCAAACTCTTTGGAATGTAATTACTCCTCTAATAATGGGCCCTTGAGCCATTCTCTACTGCTCGGGCCTACTTCTACTCCTTTGAAATGTACTATCTCTTCAAACAAACTACTTTTTCAGTACTTTACTCCGGCATCTCGTTCAATTCTTTGCTCGAATTGCCAAGGACCTGGACTTTGCACTGAGAAGGGCCCACTCTCCAACAACATAACGATGGATGACTTTTGCGAGGATAGCTTGGCAGAAAACGCACTAATACGTTCATTTACCTTAGCACCCGTACGATGGTTTTTGTTAAGATAAGAAAGACTGGTAAGCACTGGTTTGCATTAAAAACAAAAAACAAACCACATAGCAATGCTCAGAGTGGTATGTCAATACTCCCCTTGGGTAAAAATACTATCAATGTTAAATTGTTAGATGATTGAAAAAAGGAACTAAATAGAAATGCTGGCATGGCGTTGAATCAGAAGTCGCCATGCTGAAATTCGCACATTTTTGTCACTATCCCATAATTATACCAAGGTCTATTTGAGAGGTGGTAGGTATGAAGTAAAACAACATAAGGAGGCTTTAACATCAGATTGGGCACAAATTCCAGCTCCACTGCTCACTCACTCAGTAGCTACGTGTCCTGGGCAAATCGCATAACCTCACTGAGCCTCAGGATTCCCATATTTAAAGTATCAATACTACCTGCTGTATAGAAGTGTTGAGTGACACCCTAGACAAAAGACACCAAATGTAGTACAGGCATTGTGTGATGCACAACACTAGATTCATCATAAATTCACAACTGACGATTTCATTCTTGAAATACGGATTTTTTTTTTAAAGCCCTTTGATGCTACATTTCCATTCACTTTTGAATTTCCTGCAAAGGCACGCATACGGTGAGCCTCCGCTCCGGTGATAATTGTTGGATTTGTAGTATGGTACACCTGTAGGCAATTCCTACCTGGCCCTTCCTCAAGTGTACTTTTTTCATTTTCTGGATATCTTTGGGGTAACACCTGTCAGAACATGGTCTGGTATATTAGACAAAGCCAGTAAGTCTACTCATTTCACAGCCATATTTTTGTATTCGAGGAGAATCACCCAGAATTCATTAAGTTACACAACCAAGAACCTGTCCCAGACGAACCTGAAGTCATGGCTCTGTGCTGATTGGATCATGTCAGTTTTACTAATTTAAAACGAGGAAAACAATCACTGAGGGTGAGCTTTGTAATTGGGGCCTTCTGTCTGTGGACTGAATCAGCAGAAAGGTGGGGGCAGGCGGATCATTCAGATCATAGTATGCGATTCACTTCTGGTATGTGATCACAGTATTTGATCCCTTTGCATCTCATGTTCCCTTTTCACATCTAGGAAATTTACATGACTTCGGACAAGGTACTTCATTACTCTGGGCCTCTATTTCCACATCTACAAAATGTCTCTCGTAGAGTACCCACCTCACACAAAAATTTTACAAGGATTTCATGAGAGAATGTATGCCCAGTACTTTAAAAAGTGCCTGGTACATAGTAACATCAGTATTACTCTTGCTGTGGCTAAGGTTATGGTCTCCTTGAGAAAAAGAGGTTCCCATAGCCTGTATCTGTGCATCAGGGCGTACATCATTTGTTTCTAATTACAGTAAATAAATAGATACACTACTAATAGCTTGTGGTGATGGAGAAAGAAAACATACCTTAAAGGATTTGTTGAGGGAATATTGGTGAAAAGAGGGTACACTGGGACAAGGGTTACAAGACAAGGGTTTGAATTCTTTCTGGACAACTAACTCATGGTATGTCCTTGAACTGTCCTCTTAGTGCTTTTCCTGCATCTCCAAATTGGGGTAAAAAAAAAATGTTTACTGCATAGATACCTTGGAAAGATTAACTGAGATAAGCCAAATATCTATATTCAACTCACAATACAGACTAGCTACATTGTTCGTACTAACCATGAATTTATTTTCACAAACATTAATCAAAAGTCAGAGAACAGAAACAACATTTAAGGAAGATGACTTACAGGATTTGCTGGCTACCTACTCTCCCAGATATTAAAAGATCTACTCCTAACCAAGGCAGATCATCAGAGAAATATATACTTAAACTAAATCCTATTGTTCCTCCTACAGAAACCTCATTATGAAATTACATTACAGTGTGAGGCCAGCAGACCATATTGATGGGCCTCATAAGAGCTCTATAAACCTTTTTATTTGCGTTATACAGTGTCTGCCAAGGACATTTTTCATTACTTCTACAATGAGATCTTTATAAGATCCTCCAGGAGCAATCCCAGCCTGAACTTAGGTCTAAAATCAGTAGCACCTATCTTGAGTATTGGAAGCTGGAGGCAAATACAGATTTACTGTTTAGAGTCAGTGATACAGGCCAAGGATGCATTCCTGCATTGTCCAAAAATATTTTTTGAGCACCTACTGCTTGACAGACTCTCCACTGGGATGTAGAAAGGCTGTGATAAACAAGATAGGAAACATTTCTCCCTTCACAAACCTAGAGACTAGTGGGAAGGAACAGATTATTAAATAAACAATTATGATACAAAGCAATGACATAGGATGAGCCAGATATAAGTGCAGTGCAACCAGATAAAATGTATCCCATCCTTAGGTGGGCAGGGAGGTGAAAATAAAGCAAAGCTTAGACCAAAAGAAGAACAGGAGGCCCCTACAAGAAAAAAAAACACAAAAGCCAGGAAAAGGCCAGAAACAGGTGGATGGAGAAAGATACCAAGAGCCTAAAACTGTCTATATATCACCTATCATGATCAGTACCAATCTATTTGTATACCTTATCAGTATAACAGTCTACATAAGTAGGATTATATTGTGTAGGGTGCTCATAACTATATTTAAATTATTTCATAGACTTGAGGAAATTGACCTGATTGTATAAATTGGCCCAATTTTCTCATCTACGAAATGGAAATAATAACAGTGCCTACTTCACAGCATTGTTGTGAGAATGATAGGAGTCAACGCATGTTTAAACTGTACGAATCAGTATAGTGTTTAGCATACAGTGAGCACCCAATAAAAATTAGCCTTACTGACATTCGACTAAAAGTTTGACAGGCTAGCCCACATCAGCATAATCATGGTGGGCTACTCTGTGAATTTGAGACATCGAAACATACCTATGACCCTGAAGCACATAGACACAATCCAGGACAAGTAAGGAATGCCATATCTAAGTAAATCACTGGTACTTCAAGAAGTACCCATTCTAAAATTAAATTACAAACTTGAAGCCGTTAGAAATCCAGTTTCATTCTTAGCCAGTCCCAAGAGTTTTAATCCATTCCAGTCCAGAGTCCATGACTCTGGACTAAAATAGTAAAATTTTATGTTGACAGGAAATAAGGGAATACCCTTTGAGCTTACAGTCTCTTTGGAGTCCTGGGATTGCTCTGCTTTTAAACTACAAGCCACTGACCCACCCTACTTTGTATCCAAACCTTGGAAGAGCCTCAAGACTCAGAGAATACCCTTTATATGGCAAGAGCATGGCCACAGACCAGGCCCTTTACGTGCCACAGAAGCGACTGGCTACATACCCTAGAACCTGCCAAAATGTTTGCCACCCGAGAGACTCAATAAACCATAGTCACAGGCTTGAAAAAAACCACATGGCTAGTTAGCATATATACTGAACAAATCACCTATTTTTGCCTCATTTTCTTGGTTAAATAAAGGGGTTAAACCCATTCGGAAAAACCAAGGGGTTGACTCTAACATGGGCTGGCTCTGGGCCTTTTAAAAAGATCCCATCTGCTGAAGACAGATAACCCACTTCCCCTTTACTTTTAAAAACTAACAAAGGAAATTTCACTTATGTTCACAGTAACCTATCTAATAATATGCCTGACTGTCAGCAAGATCACCCTGGCTTCCTCTCCCCATCATGCAAATTGCCATTGGATTGAATTAGATTTAATAAGCCACTGGGAAGTGCAGTGAGGGACACAGGGAGCAAAGATTACACGATATGGGCTTACTCTTGTATGTGGAGTACTTCCCCTGGAACTCTCACATTCTCCCAAAGCTGGGGAAATAAAGAATGCCAAGCATATGGAAAGACACGCTGCTGCTGCTGCTGCTGCTGCTGTCCAAATGTGAAATGTGGGTGGAGAAAATCATTTAGAAAAAGAAAGTGAGGGAGAAAAGAAAATCAACCCGAATCCCCAACAGCTGCAAAGGAAGCCTGGGAAGCTGTTACCTTGGATGAACTCTGATTTCCTGCTCACAGCAGGCAGAGTCCTGTTGAGTCCCAGGATCCTGTCCAGGTGGAAGGCAAACACCTCACTCATGTCCAAAGGCTGCTTGACCAGCCCACAGGGGCTAGGGCCGCAGCCAGGCACTGAGCCAGAGGTGCTCCCCTGCAGCACCAGCAAGCGCGATCTGCTGTGAGGCGACACTGGCTGGAGACCCGCCACCGCGCCATCAGCCAACAGGCGCATTCTGCGGATGTCTTCTTTGCTCAGCCACGAGGGGGCGCTCTCACTGTAGATCCTGATGTTGCTCTCCCGGGCCTGGGGCAGCTGGAAATCTGAGCCTCCACCTGGCACTCCCAGACCCGGTAACAACCTCCAGGGTCGTTCCCCAGACTTAGCCAGGTTTCCTCCCTGGATGTACCCAGGCAATTCAGCATCAGCTGCCCTTGCAGCTTCCTGCAGCTGAAGGGATGCCCCATCCAAACCCTCCTGTCCTGGGGCTGGAGATGCCACGGCATACTTCTTCCTGCGCTTTGGTTTCACTGTGCCACGGATATTGGCGGGCTTGCTGCGCTTGGAGCGTAGGGTAATGTAGACCACATTGGGCTTCAGGGTGGTCCCATTGCCCTGGGACTCTGGAGGGGCCAGGGTACCATCCAAGGGTAACTCAGGGAAGGGTGCCTCGGCGGTGTCACGGCTCTGGCGTGGCCCCTTTACCGTTGCCCGTCTGTGCTGGAGGGAGGCGCGCCCCACCTGGCTCACCAGGAAGCCCAGGTAGATGGCGCAGGCAGTGCCCAGCAGAAGGTTCCTCCGGGTCCTTGGACGCCGGCTACTCCAAAGTTTACGCACCCGTGGGCCGCACAGGGTGCAGACGAACCAGTTTATGAGCTTCCCTGGCTTGTCTGGACAGGTCATTTCTCTGCTGCATCCACATGTTGAACAGAGTTTAAAGTCTGCAGTTGGCTCCTGCTGACATGATGCATGGTTTCCTGAATTCGGCTGTCGCCTCCGCTTAGGTGTCTTAAGTGGTCTCCAGTGGGTAGAGATGGAAGTAAAGAGTTGGTGATGGAGTTGGGAATGTTTGTGACACTTGCCACAACAAACCTTTCAAACTCCTTTCAGCCTCCCCAAGGAGAAGTGTGGCTTGTTTCTGAGAATGAATGGAAACACAGTTAACTGAGTCACTGTCTCAAACTAGTTCAGTTCCTCCACAAGAGTAAAAGAAAAAGGTAACCCTTTCCTTTCAAAATATCACCACTAAATGTTTTTTGTTTTATATTGAAGTTTAAAAAACAGAAACAAGATAGATGTATTGATCTTATGTTCAATTTAAATTAATGAGAACAAGCCACAAAAATCCAAGAGTATTTTATAACTTGTAGCTCGAGTCATTTCATTTGCTTCTGAAGGAAAAGCATTAAAAGCATTAAAACCAGGCTTTTGTGAAATTCAGAAATAACTTAAAACAAGTAATAGATGTTTTTTTTAAATCTATAGCTATCCCATATTTATTTTGTAAATCCTGCACTAAATTAGTTAACTAATTAACATTCAAATTCAGAAATATAGCCTCTTAATCTAACGGTACAATTATTTTCTTTATATGTTCCATTATTTTAAATTATTAGTTACTCTACTAGAGAGCCATAAATGCCCACATATCTTGAAAGCAGCTACATTTATTGTCACACACACACAGAAACACAACATACAAATCCGATTGCTTTTTATTCCTTTTCTTTCCACCAAAGTCAGCTGAAAGAAAATAAAAGGATCTCTAGTTCTATTTTTTCACATTATTAATTAGAAAAAGAAACCATAAGCAACCGTACTTACACAGCTGGCCCCATGCTTGGCTCCAGAAACAATGTAATCCCTGACTCTAATGCAAAGAACTTTTAAAGGCTGAGGCATGGAAGTAGAACATATTTCATGGTCAAGAGGGTTCCACATTTCAAATATTTCAGCTCGGCTCTAAAAGCTCTGTTGAAAACTACTGATTGCAAAGCAAAAAAAAAACCCAGTTCCTTGTGAACTAGCTGCTTATAACCCAATTTTAAGACAGGTGAGGTTTAAAAAAAAAAGTTTAAAAATAAACTGTAATTTTAAATCCTGAAAAAGCAAATGTCGTACGGAAGCAGTTTTCATTCAAATCATTTTCCACTTATTTTTAACCCCTGGGTGCCCTCTAGTGTCCTGTTTGGAAACAGGCTCAGAAGTGTCAGTCGTATGGAATTAAAAAAGGATTGAGCGTTTGCTTAGCAGCAGCCCAATAAATACCTTCTAAAATGAGGAATGCCATCACCCCACTGTCTGTCCCGCTTAGCTGGGGATTAGAATACCAAGGTCATCGGAGACTACAACTCACCTTACCACCTTGGCCGTTTACAGAGGAACATCTGTCTCCTACCACTTCTGAGAAAGCCTGAAAGTTCAAAAACGTTGAGAAAGGGTTAACACAAATGAGGAAAAAAATAGAACAGTGAGATAAGTGTACACATTGATAGGAACAGACATTTATAGTGTACAGTTGCATAGTGGAAAAAAAAAAAGTGGATTCTCTCTGATTGGAGGTTTTTTAAAAAACCGGTTAGTAATTGGCTTAGGTAGTTTGCATGCCCCGGCACAAAGGCAGAGACTGATGACCGCCAGGCCTCACTTAGGCGTATTGTTTTTGCTTCTGTGGCAAATAGAGTCAGAAGGCCGGAAATGGGCAGGATTGTCTACCCCACGGGGAAAAAAAAAAGTTTGTGATACTATTGGGGGTAGGATAAGAAGTTACAGTACAGTAAAGAATCCTAAAAAATACTACGTTTTACAAAGCAAAAAAGATGAAGGAATTGGAATATAGAGAGAAGGAAAGAATAAACTTCCACGTGATAAAGTGCCAAAAATTATAATACAGCTGTTACTTTAGCACTCTTAAACTCAGGCCTCTTCCTCTGTTAAAAGTTCTGCCACGTGGAGCAAAGCGAAGGAACGATTCCAGTACTGACTGTGGCCTTGAAGTACCTGTAGATTTTGGCTAAACTTTGTAAGAATTCAAGCACAAAAGCAATTTTTTTTGTGTGCTCCAAAACTCTTAAAGCATACTTCCATATGCACAGAATCATTTTCTAGGTAGTAAATGTTAACTTCTTGAAACCATGGCAGAGCTGTTTCATTATCACTATCTTATTATGTTCACATATTGAGACGAATAACTGACCTGATTAAGTCTTTGGCAGAAGCCAAGTTATAAAAAGCAGAGGCTGCTGCTAGCTGTTTCTAAAGCAATTTTTTTTTTACAGGAGAAATGCTTAGGAAGTAGATAAGAGCTGTATGAGTTAGTACATTTGGTTGATTGCCTCCTTCCCCACCAAAATGTCTCTTTATTAGAAGAAGACCAAACATGGCCTTCTTCAAGAGGGATTAGTGGAGGCTAAAGGGTTAGATGTTCAGAGAAGGGGCTCTGGAGGGAGGAAGCCTTGGCTTGGAGTTCTCTTCCTCCACTGCCTAGCTGTGGTCCCTTGTGACAAGGAGCCTGACCTGACATCCTCAGTTTCCATCCCTGGGAATAATAATACCACTTACCTCATCAGTCTGTTGTTCTGATTCAATGAGAGTGTGGTGACAAAATGATCATTTGAAATATCAGGCAATGGGTTTTTATCCTTCTAAAAGCCCCCAGACAATCTAGACCACCAAACTTCTCTATGTCAGCTGTGGGTACTGAAGGCCTCAATCCTCAGCCTCCCACTCACACTCCCTGGTCACACACACAGAAGCCAGGACAGGCAGCTGGCCCTTGGTCGTTCTTGGTTTAGGATAGAGCAACCAAAGCCGCAGTGGTTTTCGGCCTGCGTAGAGAAGGAAAGATGGGTTAAGCTGCCTTCATTTTTAAGCTCCTCGCAGGAAACTAGTGCAGAGCTACAAATGATCTCTTCTCTCCTCACCTAAGGCATAGCCTGTGTAAAAGAAATAAGCTGCAGTGTATATTTAAAGGAAGGAAGGAAGGCCCCCGGTTACATTAAATCTGGCACATTAAAAATGCATTGGAGTTATAAATAAACACCTTAAAAGTGCAGGAGAAGACAAGAGAGAGAAATTAGGGGTCCTGTTTTCATTCCTGCCTAGTAGTTTTGAGACTCAGTTGTGCTCCCCACTGTAATTCAGACATGTGTGGTATATCTGATAAGTTGTCAGGGTGTGGAAACTCCACATACATGTTTTATGAATCAATAGAGAACCTGGATTAGAAAAGACAGACCGGTGTTGCTGTCCACATTCCCTGCCCAGTCACCCATTTCAACCCTCCACCCCCCAGCCCTATAGAGTCAAGCCCCAGGCAAACACGGATGAAGATATTTGCGTGGATTCTGTGATATACTGAGGCACCAGCAGCCCCTTTGGTTTTCCTGGCAAGGAAATGTGATGTAGGGTCTGGGAGCATCCCATGTTCCTCACCACTTCTGATGTTGGCAATTTTGGAAGCACTGGTGGGAGGCAGGCATGGCGTGGACCTTGTGGTTCCCATGGAAGCAGCAGCAACAGCGTGGGCTTGGCAGTGAGTTACCTTTAAGTAGCTGCACAGACAGAAAACATCCATGAGAGAGGCTAGTGTGTGATAACTAGAAATGACTGGATTGTATAGCACATGAGTGACAAGCCCTGCCGTCCCTGTGACACAACGGAGTGCTTTTAAGAGGTGCTGGAGGTCTTGTTTCATGCAGGAGACAGTAAGAGTCTGTGCAATTTGAGTCAATCCCACTAAAGAGTGCTTGGTCTCCGTAGGCTGGTAAGACCGAGGAAAATGTAGGTTTTGCAGCCACTTAACATTTATTAAAGACCCACTAAACGCTAGTCACTAAAGCTGGGTTCTGTGGGAGGTATGCAGTGTCTGAGGCACTGCTTGGCTCAGTAATGTCTCAGTCATGATGAGTGCTTGGATGAACAAGCGAACGAAACTATTAAGATGATAAAGCACAATCCCTAGACCACCTAGACCAGTGGTCCACAAAGTGTGGCCCTGGACCAGCAACATCAGCTTCCCCTGGGAATGTGTTAGAAAAGCAAACCCCAGCCCAGACCTACAGAATTAGAAACTCTTGGAGGAGAGAGAGGCTCTGTCATCTGTATTGTAACAAGCCCTCCAGGTAATCTGATACATGCTAAACTTTGAGAACCGTTGCCCTAGAAAAGGACTCCCAAAAAGAATGTGGCAAGCCAGGAAGAAAATACAAAAAAAGCCAAAAGAAGAAGGACAAAAAAGTAAAAAGTTGTAGAAAGACGCACAACATTTGCAAATTATAGAAGACTTTCTTCTACCTTTTCCCTCTTTATGAGAGTTCCAGATCCTCCTCAACGTTTCACCCAGTAGTTGGAGAAGACAGAATATGTTAATATCTGCCCAGCCACCCCCACCTACTCAGCCCTATAGATTCTAGTCCCTTTCTTAAAGCAAGCTCATAGCGTGTAAATACTGGGAAAGAAGAAATTTGAGAGAGACGACAATTCACAACCCATAGAATGAAAACCTAGGAACGCTCATGGGTGGGTGTGGAGGGACTATCTAAGGAGAATTGCAGGAAGAACTCAAATCCTCTAGAGGCCATCCCCAGTCTGCACCCATACGACACCTTTTATAGTAAAATCACACTGTTTTCCAAAAGGCAGTCACAGGGGTCTCATGGCCACATAATGTTTTGCATAGGCAAAAACTGCAAGCCAAAAAGCTTTGTCAGGAAGCCTAGAATGGGTTCTGAAATTTAAAAAGATAAACAGATACAAAGCAGTATGACACACAGAAGACAATTAAATATTTTGATACGAATGAACGTGTCGTTTCTCTAAATATAACTTATTTTTCCACAGGAAATAACCAATGCTTTGGTGAAGAAAGAACATTATTTTACAGTTCTTTGGAGAATGAAGACAACCTTGATTGAAGGAGTCATCAGCTCAGAGGAAATACTCCTTATTCTATCATTGCAGTAATTGCTTATAATATCAAAATGGCCAGATGATATAGTGTATGACAATAAATCCACATTGAGTTGAGGAATTTGTTAAAATATTTTTAGCTAGTGCTTTTGGCAAGTGCTATGGACTGAATGTTTTTGTCCCTCAAAATTCATGTATTGAAATGCTAATGGCCAACATAATGGTATTTGGAGTTGGAATCTATGGTAAGGGATGAGGTCACGAAGTTGAATTCTTCATGATGGAATTAATGCCCTTGTAAGAAGAGAAAAAAGAGAGCTGGTTTCCTCTTTCTCTGCCATATGTGACACAGCAAGGAGACAGCCCTCTGCAAACCAGGGAGAGGGCCCTTGCCAGAACCCAAGCATGTTGTCACCCTGATCTCAGACTTTTCAGCCTTCAGAACTGTGAGAAATAAATTTGTGCTGTTTAAGCCACCCAGTCTATGGTAATTTGTTGTAGCAGCCCAAACTAAGACACCAAGATATTTAATTTTGCTCAGTTTCCTCATCTGAAAAACCAGGATTATTATATCTAGTGCACAGGATTGTTCTAAGAATCGAATTATGTTATATGGAAAGCACTTAGCACAGTGCTTGATACACAGTAAGAAGTATGGCTCCTTCACTTGCTCTCTTTTTCTTGCAAAGATGATGCTAATGACTAAGCACTCTCTGACGAGACCCTAAGAAAACCCTGATAGATAAAAAAAGTGATTGACACATAATTCCAAGTCCAAGCAATAGTCATCAGTCATACTAAGTTACTAAATGCAGCAAATTATCCAGAATTTGCTCACTGTCTCCTTCTATGCTTAACGAAGGACTTCAAAGATAATCAGGAGTGTATTCTGCTTGCTACTTTGGATTCAAACCTGTGGTTGTTTTGACTTTGATATGTAGAATTAGCCTCTGGTAACCACTGTGAGGCTACAGTAAGGTGGATCCTGGATCCTTGGCAACGTACAGCAGGTCCTCAAATAACATCATTTCATTCAATGTCGCTTCATTATAACTGTGGGAACTTAATTAACTCTTGTTTATATCAATTATC